CCCAGAGCTCTCCCCCGCGTCGTCTTTCCCCCAGCTTCAGCGTCTGTGACAGTTTCAGGCCTTTCCAGCACTTCCCATGACGTGCATCCCAGTGCAGGGCAGCTGGGTGCAGCCTGTCAGTGGCATAGTGCTGACGTGTGTCCCTGCAGCCGCCGTGGAAGGCAGGCAGGTCCCCTGGACCCAAAACCACCAGAAACAGCTGCCCGAGTGCTGGCGCTGTGGACCCTTGAGGTGAGAACAGGGCGTTGGGTTTGAGCCTGGGTCACGGGGCGTGCCTGCCTTCTGGATGCTTCTGCGAAGCATCTGTGAAGAGCTCTGCGACAGGGACCAGGAGGAAGGGAACTTCTAGCACAGCCAGAATGTTCCCTCGCGGGGTGACGAGCAGCAGCCAGCCATGGCCACGGTAAAGGAGAGGAATGTTCTAGATGGAAAATGTCAAGTAAGCAAGGTCCCCTCCTTGCTTTCATCTCAGGGCCCTGGGCAGACGTGCTCAGTAGATGAGTTTTCCATCCTTTTGGCACATGATGCCGGAGCCAGGCGGGTTTTATGGTTGTGATGGAGTCACTGCGGGGTCCCTCGGGGGCTCTCTCACTCTTGGAGCAGCCCGGTGTGACCGAAAGCACGCCAACCCCAGCCGTGGTGTGTGGCCTCTGGTCTGGCTGTCACCCTAGCTTGTGGCCCGGGCAGTTCTCTTCCTCTGCCTTTTGTGGATTCCTTGGTGCATTGAGGGAGATCTTACAATTCCTCCTTTTGACAGAATATAATAGGGAACAGAGAGATAACCCAAGGGTCAAGGCTCTTGCCTCACACCTGGCCGAGCCCTAGATCAGGGGCCCCAGAGCACCCACTGCCAGGAGAGCTGCTTGAGCCCAGCCACGAGACACCCAGATCTCTTCCCCCACTCCCCAGTAAAGGGGAGTATTTACAGTAAAGTAAATACAATTGTTTAAAAGAAATAATAGAGCCATGGATAGGGCTGGAGAGATCGTACAGCAGGCAGGGGTGTTTACCTTGCACGCAGCTGACCCGGGTTCGATCCCCGGCATCTCATGTGCCTCTGAGCACCGCCATGAATGATTCCTGAGTGCAGAACCAGGATTAACCCCTGAGCCACCAAAACAAAACAAAAGAATATATAATGAAGTCACTCATTTTTGTCACTTACCTCAAAACACCAGACCTAAATGGCAGCCTGGGTCTCTCTTAGAACTCGCGGTTGGCACCTCCACCCTGATTGGCACAGTGGAAGGCGGGCGTTGGGGCGGCTCCGGCCTGCTCCTGCTCTCCCCACCCGGTGGCCCCGTCCGTGTGTTCATTCATGTGTGGGAGTGCGCTGCTGTCTCCCACGCTCGTCTATTTGATCTGTTCCGCTCGACTGGCTGCAGTTTGATTTAATTGGTCCTTTGATCGAGCTGTGCGTGGGGGATTCCTCGCACGCCTGAAGGCGTCTGCTGCACAGGGAAAGCCCCTCCCGATCAGGCAGGCAGGTGCCAGCGTGGCCGGGAGTCAGGCCCTGCTTGGCATCTCTGCGCGGGGAGGGTGAGGCCCGAACCCCCTCGGAGCCCGACGGCTGCTGAGTGCCTGGCCCGGGGCCGCCAGCCATGGGAACTGAGTCAGGGCCGGAAGCATTAGAAGGCCCGCATTTGGCTTTCCCTCGGGCTCTTTTGCCTTTTCCCAGCGCCCCCTCCACCTGCCTCTTCTGTTTGAGTTTCCTTGAGGAGCATTTCCATCTGGTAACGGGGCCTGAAGCTGTGGTTTCTGGTGAACGTGGCAGGGAGTGGCCTGTCACAGCCAGGGAGCCGGGGGTGGGGGTGGGGTGGGGGGAGCACCTTGTAGCCTGCTCGGGGGACAGGGGAGTTGTCCCCCACTCTCCTGAGTGAAGGTGCCCGCGTCCCCTCTCACCCACACACACCTGCGTGGCTCCGTGCTCCCAACCCCATGTGGCATCCGGCCCTCCTGCTGAGTGAGCCAAGCCACGCCAACCCCTTGGTAATCCTCCTGGCACCGCGTGGGGTGAGATGCCAAACCACAGGCCTGCCCGGCCGCCCAGCGCTGGTTTGTGTGGGTCCTGGGTTTCCTGCTTGCTTTGGGGCGGGGTGGGGGTGTGAGTGGGGAGAGTGATCTTCGTTTGCTGGAGCAACGGCTCAGTCCGCAGCGGCTCTTCCACCCACCGACGCCATAGTTGTCATTGCCTCCCTGAGACTGTCACTAGGCAAAAAGTGGGCTCTGGTGGGTGCGGCAGATCTTGGAGGATGTGGGATCATGGAGGGTTGTAGTAGTCGTGTGTGTGTGTGTGTGTGTGTGTGTGTGTTTATGCGCGCGCGCGTGCACATACTTGCTATTGAGCCGGCGGCTTCCTATACTCGTGGCATTTGTCGCTGTTGATGTTTGATAAAGCAGTACACACGAAGCCGTGAGCAGTTTACCTGCCTTTTTTTACCTGCCTATCTCTGACTTGCCTCACTGTGCAGAGGTAGGGGGGTGGCTGCTTGAAGGACGATGTACACGTTCTAAAATGGCCCGTTAAAAGTCAGCCGTGTCAGCAGGAGGGTGGGGAGGGAGGAGACAGGATCGCCGTCCAGGGAGTGGCACGGGACTTATGTGGACCCGCTCTGCAGAGATGGAGCCCAAGGGGTGGCTGACCAGTCTTTCCTGAGCTTGAGCTTTGTCTTGAATCCATTTCCCTCGACCTAATAAATTCTTGTGGGGCCGGAGCAGTAGTATGGGTGGGGAGGGCGTTTGCCTTGCACATGACCGACCCGGGTTCAATTCCCAGCATTCCATATGGAACCTCTGAGCACTGCCGGGTGTGGCCCAAAAAGCAAAATAAATAAATAAATAATAGACGTTTGTTTGTGAGCCTCGGCCATGGTGCTGAGGGCTTTCTCCTGAGCTCTGCACTCAAGCCTCACTCCTGACGGGCTCAGGGGACGATACGGGGTGTTGGGGATTGGAACCAGATTGGCCCACTATACTCTTACCTTACCTGCTGTACTGTAAAAGTTAATGACATATCGGTAGACTGGAGCATGCGCTTTGCAGGCGGATTGCCCCGTTCCATCCCCAACGCCGTGTGGTCCCCTGAGTACCACGGGGAGCAGTCTCTGGACATAGACACATGAGCCTAGCAGTAGTGGGTTTGATTCCCCCACAGGACATGAAATACCTATGTGTACCCCATAGACCGCCTGCCAGGGAGGACAGACACAAGCCTCCATCCCGTCTCCTCATCCATCCTCTGTCCTCTCCCGAAAGCCAGCCCTGGGCTCCCCGTGTGTGCCCCCCATGGCCTGATAAGCCGCGGGGAGTCAGGTGGTGGTCGAAAGCTTCCATTTTCAGCATGGGGACCGTGTTGTAGGCCCTGACAAAGCCTCGTGACGTATGGGGTCTCTGGAATACCCATGCCTTGCTCACGTGGGAACTTTCCTCTGGCTGTTCTGGGCTTCACAGTGCTACTTTGATTTGGGCGGCATTCTCTCCTCTCCAGCAGTGTACTACCTTTCCGGGCTCTTCCTTACCCTCCCTCTCTCCCTCCCTCCCTCTCTCCCTCCCTTCCTCCCTCCCTCCCGACCTTCTCTTTCCTTTCTCTTTCTCCTTCCTTTCTCCCTCCCTTCCTTCCTTCCTTCCTTCCTTCCTTCCTTCCTTCCTTCCTTCCTCTTCTTTTACTTCCTTCTCTTTCTCCTCCCTCCCTCCCTTCTCCTCCCTCCCGCCCTCCCTCCCTCCCTCTCTTCATTATATTTTTCAAAATTTATTTTGAATTTATTTTGGTTCGCCCATGGTCTTGGGGAAATCCTCTCGTGCCCAGGCTAAACCCCTGCCTCGGACTCTGCACCAGCCAAGGCTGTTTTCGTATTCTTGGGTCAGATGTCAGCTCCCACGAGGGATGGGTCCACACAGAGCCAGTCTGCTGAGCTGGAGGGGAGGCAGGACAGAGCCGCTTCTGGACCCAGGGAGGTTAAGATTGGAGGGTGCTGACTGTTGCGATGTAGACCACGTCCGGGTGGGTGGGGGTCTGGCTGTAGCATGCTAAGTGTTACCCTAGTTAAATATTAGTAATTTAAGATACCGTGGTGACTGTTTCATATAATCCCAAAGAGCTGTTTGTGCTTTACCAATGTCTGCCTATTTTTTTTTCTCTTACTAAGCACTAAAAATGGGCTTTGAAGGTCTGCTTATTTTTGTTAGTTTTTTGAGGGGAGAGGCATTGTCAGCCCTTCAGCGGTGCAGCGGGCTCACAGCCCCCCCAGGAGCTTGTTCTTTGGGGCCACTTTTGGCTGCTCCTTGGTTCTTCTGGGCCCTCAAAGACTGTCCCGAGCAGCCCCCCACCCCAGAGAACCCACGCGCCCACACAAGGCCCGACCCGGACATGGCACGGTCTCGCCCAGCCGTGCCTGCTGCTCCCGGAGGAAATTGGGGTCTTGTAACTGAAGCGCAGGTGGCAGCTTCTTGAAGCTAAATGTCAGCTTCTCCTGAATTAAAAATCAGTTCTGTTGGCTCTGGGGGAGAGAGAAAGGGGGAAAATGAAAATCACGGCTGGCTCCCTTCTGGTGTCAAGCAAGAGACACGGAAATGTCTCCTGGCTCCATTTGGACTCGGCTGGCTTGCATGGAAGGGAGGGCATTGGGTCCGCGGACGACCCTCAATCTGGGCTGGCAGCACCCCGCTGACTCACGAGGGGCGAAATCAGGCCTGCAGAAGCCGTTAACCCCCGTCGTGAAACACTCCTGGCACGCACTCTTGTGCTCACGTGTGTACGCGTGCACACAAGGGGGGTTCATTAGTGTGTGAAACACTGCCCTTGACCCTGTGTCTGCGGCCCGAAAACAGGCGTGTGATTGGTGAGCCCGCGAGAGCCAGGGAGCCTCTTCAGACGGACGGGGCTTGCCTGGAACAGCTCCCCCCTTCCACCCCTACCCGCTTTCGTGCCATGATTTTATTGCCATCTCTCGACCGGGGACCCTCTGCTCCTGCTCACCTGCAATGTTGTTTTGCTTCCGCAGGCCCAGGCTGCAAGCACAAAGGAAGTTTGCTCAATCCCAGCCGAACAGTCCCAGCACAACTCCAGTCAAGATAGTGGAGCCATTGCTGCCCCCGCCAGCTACGCAAATTTCTGACCTCTCCAAAAGGAAGCCTAAGACAGAAGACTTTCTCACCTTTCTCTGCCTTCGAGGTAAGGCTGGGAGCAGGCCGTGGGGAAGGGGGAGAGACCAGAAGGGGAGGGGTGCCACTCAGGGACATCCCTGCAGGGAGTAGGCCGGCTCTGACTCTGAGTGCCAGCCTGCTTCCGGGAGAATCTACACAGAGGAGTACTGAGGATGGAGTCCCGTCTAGATGCTTCTGTTTCCCTCCCTCGAGAAATGCCTCGTGTCGGTAGAGCACATCCTGTGCAGCCCAGTCCACTTCTTCTTCTTGTTTTTTTTTTCTTTTTGGGTCACACCCAGGATGCACAGGGGTTACTCCTGGCTTTGCACTCAGGAATTACTCCTGGCGGTGCTTGGGGGACCATATGGGATGCAGGGGATCGAACCCCGGGTCGGCCACGTGCAAGGCAAACACCCTACCCATTGTGCTATTGCTCTAGCACTTCGATTTTCTTTTCTTTTTTCTCTTTTTGGTTTTTGGTCACACCTGGCAGTGCTGGGGGTGGGGTGGGGGAGGGTTCTGCACTCAGGAATTACTCCTGACATTGCTCAGGGGACCATATGGGATGCCGGGGATTGAACCCAGGTTGGCTGCGTGCGAGGCAAGCGCCTTCCCTGCTGTACTATCGCTCCAGCCCCCTGTATTTTCACTTGTTCTGAAATCCCGTCTTGGTCGTGTCAGGCAGTTTGACAGATGGTGCTGCCCCTGTGTGGAATGGGACTCTACCATATGTCACCCTTGTTGCACTCCATTCATGGCGCAGGAAGTGCCCTTTCCTTGAGCTCCCTAAACCCTGGCAGTGATGCCCTCTCCTAGGCTCCGTGTTCCAGCAACCCTCGTGCTCTCTCCTAGGCTGGCTCACATTTCTCTGCACGGGCCCCGCCAGGAGAGTGCAGGTGACCGGGCTGCAGGTGGTGAAGGATAGGTCAGTCGGGAAGGTGCTTGCCTTAGGAACCAAGTTTTCTGATGGTTGTGAAAAGAACAGGAAAGATCATCAGAGGGACTCCCTGGAGAGACTCCCTGCATGGGAAATCATGCCCTTGCACCTCCCTTTGTAGCGGTCAGGTGGGGTTGTCTCCTTCGCTTATTCCGGAACCTTTCCTAGGTCTCTCATTTCGTGACCTGACCATTCTCTTGGTCAGAAGTGTGACGCACCGTGTCTGTTTAGAGGACAAGAGAGCGCTCTCCCATGCATGTATGTGCATGCGCGCACGCGCGTGCGTGCGTGTGTGTGTGTGTGTGTGTGTGTGTGTGTGTGTGTGCAGACATGCGCACGTGCGCAGATCCTCATTAGGGAAGAGGGTATACATACATATTCCTGTAGTATACCCGTGTCTATGTATTTAAAAAGCCTACCTATTAGCACGATTATCTACTATTTCAACTTAATAATTAAACTGTTGGGGCCACACCTGCCAGTGCTCATGGCTTATTCCCTGCTCTGCACTCTGGGACATTCCTGATAGGACACTGCGGACATATGGGGCGCCAAAGATTGAACCCAGGCTGGCTGCGTGTAAGGCAAGGACTCTCCCTGTTGTATTTCTCTCTTTGACCCCTCCCCCTTTTTCGATATGAAGATCATAAGACTGAGAGCCATCTTTATTTTTTATTGTTATTTATTTATTTTTTGCTTTTTGGGCCACACTCAGCGATGCACAGGGGTTACTCTTGGCTCTCTACTCAGAAATCACCCCTGGCAGTGCTCAGGGGACCATATGGGATGCCGGGAATTGAACCTGGGTTGGCTGTGTGCAAGGCAAATGCCCTACCCGCTGTGCTATTGCTCCGGTCCCAAGCCATCTTTATTTTTAAGATCATGTTTTTGTGACATCAGGTTTATTTAACTGACTTGGCCCTCCAAAGCATATTCACGGTGATAGATGCTGTGCAGAATACTTTTCTATTCTGGAACTGTGAATTTCATAACATCAGAAGTCATTTTAATATCTAGTTGCTTAAGCTACACACTTAGACATATGTATTTATTTATCTCTATATAATATATACTTTTTTCCTATATTTTATATATATTCATATGTTCTTTTTTCCTCTTCCTTAATTCCTCTTTGTATTTGGCTGGTTGTTTTGATTTTAGCATTAACTATTGACAGTGTGTGGGTGCTCTGGGGACATGCAGAGCCTGTGGTCAGCCTGTGCAGGCCAAGCCCTTAAACCCGTCTGTTCTTTGTCTGTCCTTACAACTAGGTTTTGAAGTATAAAAGATTAAATAGATGATCCCGATTTCAGTGATTCTTCCAAGCAATCAAACACTTGGCCGTGTGCTTGCATCCTGATTTGGTGTGTGGTGTTCGCACCCAGTGTTCCACCAGGATCATGCTTGGCGGAGCGGAAGGGGGTCCAGGATGGGTCTCACGGCTTCTTGCAGACAAGGCAGGTGCCCTCGCCCAGAGCTCACTCTCTCTGATCCTTAGAATTTCCAGTCAAGCAAGTGCTTGGACATGGGAGATGGCTCAGGAGCTGGAGTACATACAGAGCGTGTGTGTGTGTGTGGGGGGGGGGGGGGGGGGGCTGGTGTTTGGTCCCCTGGCACCGTATGGCTGCCTGAGAACTGTCTGGTGTAGCCCTAGAGACCCAAATCCCACTGTCCCTCCAGGTAGAGCACCGAGCTGTGTGAGGCCAGAATTGCTAGCACAGTGGGACATCACTGGGGGTACCCAGGAGAAAGTGAAAGTAAGGATCTTAGGCCCATATCTACACACACACACACACACACACACACACACACACACTGGGGCTACTCCTATCTGGGTGCTTGGGAACTCGACAGTGTTGGGGATCGAACCTGGGCCAAGTGTGCTGACCCAGTGAGCTATTTCCCCACCCCCAGGTTTGCCTATTTTTAAGTCCCAGGGTCTTTTGCTGTGGCTCTTGAAAGTGGTAGGAGAGCTGGAGGAAAAGGCTAGAGGCAAATCAGAGGACATCTTCGTTGTCGTCCTCCCAGTGGCCCTGCTGGGCAGCTGCCCCCTGGGGAGGCAGCTTCCTTGGCCATCACTCTTGGCCATCAGCAGCCTCAGTCGGGTTCCATAAGCACCAGGAGCTACTGAGCAATCTTTCCTCGGGCGGGCAATCACTTCTGGTGTGAGTCACGGCCTATCAACACAGAGAATCGGCCTATCAACACAGAGAATCGCACACACTTAGTCTTGGTCCTCGGGGTGGGGGTGGACCTTCTTGAAGCAGGATGCAGGATAGATGTACGACTGCCCCCCTTCCCCCCAGCCCTGCCGGCAGCGGCATTCCATGATCCATGGCCTAGTTCTGTGACTCTCGTCATCTCTCAGATAACGCCTTATTGCCACTTTGCTGCTGCTTTTGGGGAAAGGGTCCCCAGTCATGCTAGGGGCCCTAGAGGCTGCTGGAGGCCTATCTTAGCTTGCAGGGCACGTGCCCCTGGGCCTGGTTTGGAGACACCTCTAGGTGGTGGTTTTTCAGGCAAAGACAGTTGGGGCTCCAGAAAGCGTCCTCTGAGCTGCGTGCCGGTTCTGGTTTTCCCTTCTTGGTGCATTTTTGCAGACCAAAGAGTGTGTCTGGTTCCTGCACCCCGTGCTTCGTGCCAGGCGTCTCGTCACCCCTCCCCTTGGGCATGTGGGGGACTAGGAAGGCATCACGACACACAGGCATCAGCTGCAGAAGGGAAGGGCTTGAGGTGACCTGCGGGACAGCGAGTCCTGAGACCTAGGGCACATCAAGAAGTGGTTCTGCCAGAAAGGGGAGAGGCAGGGCTGGGAGGGTGGAGAAACCCCAGATCCGGCCTCTTCCCTTGTGCCTCTGCGGTGAGCACTGGACGTGAGTGGGTAGGAGCGAGCACACCCTGTGTGTGGAAGATGCTCTATGTGTTCTCCGGCCCATTCATTCTTTGGGTCTGGCACTGCCCCCTTTTCCCCTGGGCATCGGGTCTGGGCTCTAGGGCCCGGAGGATGCACGTGGTTTCTGCCCGAGGCGGGTAGGTGTGGGAGCGGTCGGGACTGCGCCCACCTCGTTCCTCTTAATGAGTTCTGTCTTCTTCTCTTTGTTCTGAGTCTGATTATTAACAGATTAAAAGCCTTCACACTGCCGAGTGAGGCAGGTTAAATGATTCTCTTATTTACATTTTCCTCCTGACGCATCCCCCCCACCCTATCTGCAAGGGTGAGGGGGCGGGATTCCCGCGGGGGATTCCTGCAGCCCGTCTCCCCCAACTCTGAGTGCTTCCCCGCTGCTCCTCGGTGGCAGGGGTGGTGTGGGGAGAGCGGAACCAAAGCTGGGGGTTTCCTCGTCCTGAGCAGCAGTGCGGGCTTTGCAGGGTGGGGGGGGGGGGGGGCTGGAGCCGCCTTTGTTCCCCTGCCTCCCAGGCCCTTCACCGTCCGCAGTCATTCAGCCGCTGATAAATTCAGCAGACCTTTATCGCGCTCATTTGATATGCCAGACGCCTACTAAAGAGACATCCCGCGTCCGCGGGTGGGGAGTGGAAGCAGACAATGGCCGAGTGCCCGCCCCTGGGACCAGGTTGTGGCCAGCTGGCTGGCCGGCCACAGAGGGTCCCTGAGATGCTTGGTCGGGGCAGGGGGTGGTGGGGAGCACGGGGCTCGGTGAGAACTCTGCTGAGTGCCCTGGGGTTTGGTTTGTACCTCGGATGCCTCAAGTTGAAACCGGGAAAGTCTCTGGACTTAGTTCCCTGAGCCCCGGGCCAGACAAGGGGTCCCACTGCCGTGCAGTTGGGAGGTGGCCGCAGCTTCACTTCAGGGCAGGTGAGGCATTGGCCTTGCACGTGGCGACTCTGGTTTGATGCCCGGCCCCACACGTGGTTCCCTGGACGTTGCCAGGAGGGATTCCTGAATGCAAGGTTAGGAGAAAGCCCTGGTCACGGCCAGCGGTGCTTAAAACCTGAGCACTGCCGGATGTGCAAACAGCCCTCCCCCTCCAAAAAAAGAAAAAAATGGAAAAAGAAAAATTCTAGAAGATGACTTCAGTAAAACGAAATCCTAGTTCTGGTTATCTGTGGGAGGCCGAGAGCAGCTGCATCCT